CTGTTGGTCAACGTTCTCCAGCAGGATATAGCCGGCACCCCATCCTGTACAGTGGCGTATTGAGATGAGCTTATGAGCGATTAAAAAAAAAAATACAACAATACAAAATAAAGTCATGATAGGGTGTAATCAGCGGCCCTTTTCTATATCGGTAGGCTGGACGATTGGCACATCGCTGACCACAATAGCCGGCGGTGCATTTACAGCGGGGCTAATTTTAACATCGCTTGTCGCATCTTCCTTCTCCCTCTCCTGGTTTCTCTTACTATATCGCTTGAAGACGGCGGTGAAGCGGCTCCAAACCCTCGCCGAGGTTTTATATGTAACAACGAACGGTCCGCCAAATACGGCGGCGATCTTGGCAAACCACGCATCGGGGAACAGGCGAACAACAACGGCCCAGGGGAGGCACATTAGGGCGACGACGACGGAAATGGCCCACTGAGTGCCGTCCAAACCATTAGGGTTGATGGCAAAGGCACGAGATCCGACAAAGATGATGGCTACTTGGAGTCCAACCATGAGAAGGTTGATGAAGATGAAGAAGCGGTTGCGATGGACACCCTCGAAGATGTTAAACTTGTTATCGAGACGCCGGTTGTTGAACTCGTTGAAGATTTGCATCCAGACGAAAGCGTTGAAGATGATGGTGTCGAGCTCAAGTTTCTTCTGGGGGGAATTGTCGTAGCCGAGGATGGAGGCACCGGCAAAGTAGAGGGTAAAAGTTATGGTGAGCTGAAAGATGGCTTGGCCGATGATCATTTTCCACATCTGTAATGAAGTGGTTAGTATGAGAAGTTGGGTCCGGTGAGATTTTTGAGATGGGGAAATGGAAGACTCTTACGTTGGTGGTGATCAAAGGCGATTTTTTTCCCTGAGGAGGACGGTTGAGGATCTTCTCCGTGGGAGGATCCGTGGCCAAGGCCAAAGCGGCAAAGGTATCCATGATGAGATTAACCCAGAGGAGCTGGACGGCTTTCAGGACAGACTTCATGTGTTCGTCGTAGACAGCGGTGACGAAGGCAAGGAGCACGGCGGTGATGTTGACAGTGATTTGGAACTGCAAGAACTTTTGCACAGCATCGTTGACGGCGCGACCCCATTTGAGAGCGGTGACAATGGATGCGAAGTTGTCATCCATGAGCACAATCGAGGAAGCTTCCTTGGCAACCTCAGTGCCCGAAATCCCCATGGAGAAACCAACGTCAGCAGCCTTGAGTGCAGGAGCATCATTGGTTCCATCGCCCGTCACCGCGACGGTCTCGCCAAGTTCCTTGAGCTTAACAACTAGGATTCTTTTATCTTCAGGGGAAGAACGTGCCAGTACCTGCAACTTAGGCAAGAGGGCTTTCATGTCAGCGTCTCTGAGCTTTCGGAATAATGGACCTTCCATGACAACGCCGCCTTCGGTGAAGATGCCGCATTCACTCGCTATGGCACGAGCTGTGACAACGTTGTCGCCGGTGACCATGCGGACGACCACACCTGCATGCTGGGCCTTACGCACTGCTTCAGGCACACCTGGACGAACAGGATCTTGAATACCAACTACACCGAGGAAAGACATGTCATGGAGGAGGGAAGCAAATGAGACGTGGCCGTCAATGACTTCAGCGTCGGAGGGCGGCCAAGACATGTAGTCTTTGTAGATGAGGCCTATAGTTCGGAGGGAGCTGCCTGCGTATTTCTCAATGGTGGACAAAAGCTCACTCTTCTTGGAGGGGGTGATAGCATCGTGTTCGAGGGTCTGGGCATCAGCCATGGTAGAGCAGTATTCGAGGAGGATTTCGGAAGCGCCCTTGACGTGGAGTCTGTATCCGGAGCCGCTCTGGAGGCGAATGACGCATCCCATACATTTCTTGCCAGAGTCAAACGGGAACATTTGCAGAACTGTTTCGTTGGCCCGTGTCATGGCGAGGGACTGCAGACCGAGATGGTCCTTGGCGAGTTGGAGAAGGGCAGTCTCAGTCTTGGATCCGATGAAGGCGGCTTGACCGTCTTGGTCTCCTTCAAACGCGGTAGAGTTGATGGCGACGGATTGGACGATAATGGTCTTGGTATCAGATGGGAGGTCTGATGCCCATTGGGAAATGGGTTCGGACTCGGACTTGGAGAAGCAGGCGGTACCGAAAGCGCCGGCGACTACAGTCATCTTGTTGGTGGTCTACAATAGTGATTAGTACACATCATGACATCTTGTAGATAGAAACAGGGTATCTCGTGAGGATTTTGGGAAGTCTTACCAAGGTACCCGTCTTGTCGGAACAAATAGTTGTAGCATTACCCATGGTCTCACAGGCACGTAACATACGAACCAGATTGTTCTCCTTGAGGAGTCTAGTCGTGGCGAACGCCAACGCAAGTGTCACTGCGAGCGGCAAACCTTCAGGCACAGCCACGACAATTATGGTAATAGCGACGATGAGGATATCCATAAAAGCAGAAGCCTTTTCAGCAGAGGTGCGGACGTCGCCCTCAAGAGCTGCCACGAAGCGGAAAAGGAGAACAAAGAAGAGGATTCCGGCCGCTGCGCCGCCGAGTTTGGCGATAGCAAGAGCTAGACCCTCGAGTTTCTTCTGCAGGGGGGTATCTTCCACTTCGGTTCGGACAGACATCATGATCTTGCCGAAGGAGCTATTGACTCCGACGGAGGTGCATACAAATGTCCCCATACCTGTGATAGGGAGGTAAAAATCACACTGTTAGTCCTTGGCAGTGATGAGGAAGAGGTGATGGAAACGTACCTTCAAGGACTTTTGCACCGGAGATGATGAACGGATCTAAATCATTGGTATTGTGACCAGCCTCAAGAGCTCTAAAGACGTGATCGCCACTAGTCTTTTTCAAGGCATCGGATTCACCTGTGGCAGAGGATTCATCACACTTGACATCATGACCATCAATAAATATGCCATCCACTGGGACCAAGTCACCCGGTTCTAAATGCAAAACATCACCAACCAGGATATCATGAACATTGATCAAGGCAGACTTTCCGGACCGGACAGCTTTGATCTCACGATCCTCCTTTTTGGTGCTGAGTTTGACGAATGCCTTTTCCTTCTGCCAGTCGTTCAGGGATCCCACTGCAGTGACGACAATGATAGCCACGCAAATGGCAACGCCTTCTACCCAGTCCACAGGAGGGGGGGCACCAGCCTCTCTCTCGACACCAAAGGTTTCGTATAAGCCCAGTGCAAGGGAAATGATCGCCGCAGCTGTCAACAAGATGAGGACTTTGTCATTGTAGGCGTTCCACATGAGCTTCCACAGGGGCGTTGGCTTCCTAGCCGGCAAGACATTACGCTTATACACGCGGATACGGTCCGCGAAGGCGTCTGATGAAGAATTGTTGGAGCCCGGAGGAGAGGTGTTCTTATTGCAAGTGATGCTGCCCAAAGTTGATGACGAGCGAACAGCCTCGTCGAATGAAACCGTGTTTGGTACCGAAGTTTCATCACAGTTCAGACCAGAAGACGTATTTGTCTGCAAGCCCCTTGAAATGCCACGCAGCCCGCCCAAGGCTTGAAACGCAGCTAGAGACTTGGGATTGAGCAGTTTATTCAGCTGGCCTGGAGAAAAGGCAAATGGGTTCTTGTCAACATGGAAGTCATCTTCTGTCCCGGGGTCTGGACGCAGCGCGGTGGCCAGGTCATCACTGATGCTGGCGGTACGGCTAGTTGCCGTGGGAGTGAGAAAGGGGTTGGAGGTAGCTGAAGTGATGGTATCGGCGTTGCTGAGGGTGCGTTGCCGAGTATCAACCTGCAGAGCGGCAGGCGACAAGCTGCTGTTTGTCATATTGAGTCGATGAGAGATGACGGGGCACCACTACCAAGCCAAAAGAGAAAAAGGAAAAGAAAGAGAGAAAGAAAGACACCTCTTCTCTACAAGCTTAGAAAGGCACCTAGACGGACAAGATGTGTTGGAGAGTTTAAAATGAGCATCTAAATGAAAATGGAGTCAAAAGACATGGCCAGGCAGATGACGATGATGGTGATGATGATGACTTTCGATATCCAGAACCAATAAATATAAAGCTCAAAAACACATAACCTCGAGGCGTTTTATGCAAATATTAGAGCAAGGTTAACTAATAAGGCTGCGCCGTGTGGTACGTGATAAGTGAGGCAAAGGCACAAAAGCGCGTCGTTGAGTTTTTGGCGCCAGAGGAGGCTGAGCCAGGACTAACTAGCCCTTCTTCGACCCTCCTCCTTCGTCTTTTCTCTTGGGCTGACACTATTGCATGATGTTCAAGTAACAGCGGGAGGGGTCATGTTGGAAAAGTTGGATTGAGCCTGTTCCCGGACCTTTATCCACTTTCTTGGCCCAAGGAGGCGCAGCAGCAGACGATACCTATATGATGTTGCCAAGACTGTTGATAGTACGGCTTACACAAGAATAAGTAAGAAACAAGCTAAGACTTGGTCTCCCGATCGGGAAGGTTTGAGGTGGGCAACTTGACCATCTTTCCAGCTTGCACATGCTGCGTTCTGCTACGCTTGACGTTGATGCACTCTTGATGCAGGACGCTCGCCAAGACACTGGCTGGCTACTCCGTCGGCTATATCAATTAAGCTCATTACGGTGGCGTCGCTTGATGTGGTCCGGTCCACCAGGTGTGGCACTTGGCATGGCACGCAAGCAACCACGCGGCATTTCGCGGAAACGGACGAAAGGCAATGAATGGCTTCCTACAATAATTTCTTGGCGCAACTTGCTAGCGTGCTAATGCCGGGAAGCTCTACGGAGTACGGAGTAGTAGTATGATGGATATGCAAAGTTCTCGCCTGGTCTAATAAGAGCTCGACAAAAGAATGCATGTACGGGGTACGAAGCAAAGAACTATGGAGTACTCCGTAATTAGTGGATTCATCAGGGTTCGATCAATGAACATGCTAACCACTGGATCATAACTTGTGAAACGAGGAAAATTGGTTGCTAAGACGCTGCCTTGGGCGGTAATTACTATATAAAACCTTTTTAGAAGCTACATGTTCCAAGTTCGTATGACGCAGCGGTAGCGTGTAGGATTGCAATTCTGTAAAATAGAACCTTAAATCCTGAAGTCCTGAGTTCGAACCTCAGTGCGAACTTTTTTGTCTCTCTTCATTCCTGTACCGAAGACATAGAGCCGTATGTCCGCCACCGCACCATTTTTTTTAAGCTCTAGTTAATTAGCCGACCTCCCTTCATCTTTACCCGCATTAAGATTGGCCCAACATCAGCCACGACCTTTCGAACGATCTTGGCATCAATATCCAGTACGGACTGCCTATGATGCACCTCCGAGTCAATTCGACCCTATCCGCGTAGAAGATACTTCTTCAGGACACGCTCCTCTTTGCACGGAGCACAGCCTCGGTGGTGATGTATGGGTTAATTAAAAAAAAAAAAAACTGGCTGGCTGGCTAGCTGGCCTTAGTTTAGCTTAGCACATCTACACCATAACTAGGGAGTACGGAGGAGTGGATTAGGGCGAGCTATTAGTGCATTCGAAGAAATGGACCCGGGTTGTCGCTATAGTGTACTTCGGACTTTGCACTGGGTTTCGCGGACAAAGTAGTATATGATGATAGTATTTGGTGAGGTTTACAAAGTCCAATCCATCACTTTGCGTGGTAAAATACCGTGTACAGTCAAGCGCCTATCTGAGCATTATAGCCGAAAGCCACGCTTCGAACTCTAATAGTGCCATAAAAATCAAATAAGAGTGGTGCTCTCTGCCTCGTATCAAACCACCGAGATGGAATGACATGTCGATAACTCTCATAGCAAAGCCCAGAGTTGACCCTGACAATATTTGCAGCATAGTCTCGAAGTGTCTAGAGAATATCTCGGGATGTTAGCGCCCGTTGCAACCGTAACGATCACGACAACAGCACGACAAGCAGATATGAGGAACGACAAAGCCAATAACACAACGAAATAATTATTGTTTCTTGGCAGTAACAGCGCAAGCTACGTCGGGCATTAGCCTGATGGCCCCTTATGAATGATAAAGGTACTATAACCTTCCCGTCGATAGTACAAGTTAAAGCTTTTGATGACCGCATCATCAACTCCCGCGAGGCAGTGCACGCAGGGTTGATATACAGCTACTGCATGGATATACTGGCTTCCGTGCGCAAGAGGAGTCAAACATTTGGAAGCACGACATGGTTGAGCGCTTGTTGAGTTCGAATCATTCTCGCGATGCCTCTGAGGGGTTGGTCTCAAACGCCAAGCTTTCGGAAACTATCGTGGGAACCTCGTAGGGCGGAGAACTTCCCATGACGCCAGTTGTCGAGGCGGTGCATAAACTGGGGAGAACGAGATAAGAAAGTAGTCCATGGCTGTTAACGATGCCTTTCGAACAGCCGCCATTGGATCCGCTTCTCCACTAGTTATGGCTGTTCCAATTCTTGTGAATTTGTCAGAACGGTCACTCCTACCAGGACGTACTCTTGCCGACCTTTATTTGTGTGCGGATCAACAGATTACGGGGCGGCGGCTGTGCAAATGGGAACAAACTACTCCGTACCAAAAGGGAAGCTGAACGGGGCGATCATTGGATGAGAGGTATCCAATCCAGGAGGGCGGGATTTATTATCGTGACAAATGGATTTGATGAGCCGCTCACTAGCGGCAGTTATACGGCCTGAAGACAACAAAGCCTTTCTCTCTCTCCCCCTCCCTCCCTCTCTTTCTCTCTCTCTCTCTCTCTCAA